ATTTTGAGCGTAGAAAGTTAACAATTCAATAAAAAGCCCTTGCTGTTTCATTTGATCCTACTTCTATTATGCTGTCTTCTTCTTCGTTCTTTACCCTTCCAAAGTTTTGGTCTCTGGAATATGATGGCAATATCAAATGTCAAGCACTTTTGGTGGAAAGTTTGTAGTAATGCTTTGGTCACACCTGAAAATTTATATAAGAGTAAATGTGCTGACTTTCCTTGGTGCCAAATCTGTGATGTGATGGTTGAATCCGTTGAACATTCTTTTTAAATGTGGTTGGATTAAGAAGGTTTGATTTGGGGTTCGACTTGGGTTTGAGATTGGAGTTGGATTCTTATGTTTCGGTGTTACAGTGGGCATCGTCTTTTGTGGATGCTATTAAGAATTTCAGTTGCTCTCTTGAGATTATGGGGAAAGTAGCTACAACTGCTTGGGCCATCTGGATTGTTAGAAACAATTTCATCTTTAATCATCATAACCCAATGCTCTTACTACTCTGTTGCGGGCTTAGAAACTGTGGAGTGATGTGATGATGGTTGGTATAAGTAGGCGTGAGGTGCAACTGGTGGTTCCTAATGTTGGCAGGCGTGAGGTGCAGCTGGCGATTTTTGACTTTGATAGGAGTGTGATGCAGCAGCCTGGTTCTGATATGCAATATCCTGTTTCTGTTGTGCAGTAACCCGTTTCTGATGTTGGCAGATGTGAGGTGCCGCAAGATCTTGCTTCTGACTTCAGACCTCTTCATCAAGATCATGCTTCTGGCTCCTCATCTCTTTTGTGTTGTGATGGAGTGTTTAAGAAAGGTGATGCAGTTGTTGGGGTGATTCTAAAAGATTCCAATGGGTTTATGGTGGATGGAATTGCTAAAAGGATTTTGTGTTGTGATGGAGTGTTTAAGAAAGGTGATGCAGTTGTTGGGGTGATTCTAAAAGATTCCAATGGGTTTATGGTGGATGGAATTGCTAAAAGGATTCCGACCGTATCCAATTTTTATTCCGAAGCAGCTGTGGTAAAAGAAGCTTGTCTCTTAGTTTCTGCTTTCTGGGCTTCGTGATGCTACTGTTTCTAATGACAACCTGGAGTTAATCAAGCTGTGTATTTCGGAAGATGCTCCTCCATGGGAGATCAATGCTTTTGTTAGTGACATTCGCAATGTTGCTAAAGCGTTTAATTTAAGCTTTATTCACAAGCCGAGGGCTCTTAACAGAGCAGTTCATTGGATTACAGCCATGAAATTATCTAACTCAATTCCTTTGAGTTGGGTGTGCTGCCCTCCCCCCGAACTTAAGATTTTTTTGTCTACCGATTGTAATCAACATTTTCCAACATAATAAAATGTGCAAATCTGATTATCTTCAAAAAAAAAAAATAAATAAATAAAAGACCACCCTCACAGTGCGAGCAAGTAGAACCATGCCATTTGACAATCTAAAAAATAGAATTAATCAAATAAACCAACTAAAAAAAAATCAAAATGCATAAATTTTTTATGTATCATACATATTTTCACCCAAAATCAATCACAAACATATTTATATTCCATTGAACATATGCATACTCAAAGCCAACCACAAATTATAACAATTAATCAAAAAAATTAATTCAAAAAAATCAAAATACATAATAAATTATCGAGAATGATGCATACTTTCTACTCACCACAACCCCATGAGTCACAGCCCAGGTGTGCATTAGATTAAGATACGCGTAACTTTCTATTCGAAGTGTTGGAAGGAAAGTAGAAAATTTGAATGCACTGATTGGATCATGAAGCTACATACATCGTATAGTGTAAATCCACAAAATTGAGTTGGCATATTTAATGGGTTAGATGGAATAGAATAGCCTAAACCACAAACAGCACAGAACATGCATTGCCCACATATGCATGAATAGGAATATTATTAGATCAAATTTTTAGGTCTAAATAACATCTATATAACAAAGTAACTTACAATTCAAATCTAAAAAATAAACAAAATAACTTTTACTATTTACGGTTGAGATCGTTTTAAATTTTATTTTAAAATTAATCTAACGATTAATATTAACACTCTAAATTTAATATGAAAATAAGTCTCTAAGAGTGTGTTTGGAGTAACGTTTTAAAAGTATTTTTACAAATTATTTCTCATACATACTTTAAAAAAAAATAGTGTTTAAAATCACCCCACCACTACCTCTATCACCGCCACCGCCGCCGTCGCCACCCCCATCATCGTCATCGTTGTCGTCGTTACCACTGTCATCACCACCACCACTGCTGCCCTTATGCCATCGTCATCGTCGCCACCACCACCACGGTCATTGCCATCTACCACAACCATCATCGTCTCCCACCATTAATATTGTCGCCTACCATCTCTCACCTCCACAGTAAAATCGATGTTTAAATTCATTTATCTCTTCTCTATATTTGTGATTTGATTTTAGATATAAATACAAATATCTTTATTATTTATCATTTTTTATTATTCTGTGCCTTCAGACATATGCAATAACTAGTTATTCAATGATATATTATGTATTTAAGTGAAATTTATTGCATTTAAGTCAGTCTCCCACTAATATTATAGGGTGATCTAGTACGAATGGAATCGAAAAATACTGTGTATCCCAAATTTATAATTCAAATTTATATTTCAAATGAAGAGGACCATTGAATGTACCAACCCAATAGTTTCGGAGGCCCAGGCCAACGCTAAAATTATTCATGGATTATATTTTGTCAATTGTCCTTTTAACAATGGGATGTTTACCATATTTGTTCATCGCCTTGAAATTTTACTTTAACCGTAGCATACAAAAAGTGATGCAATTTTTGGGTACAAAAGTGGTGTGTTTTGGTATTAAACCCTTTTCCCTTTGTTATTTACGCGGAGAGCCATTCACCAAACTGACCAGTTGAGGCACTAGATCATTAAATTGAAGGGGACAAAATCGTAATTCAAACCTATGCTCACCCCTTCCCTATATACAGCGTAGCCATCATGTATCAGTATCAGTATCCACAAACTCTCTGTTTTCAAGCGGAAGAGGAGCACCTGCAACAGCCATCATGGTGGAGGGTCCCGTTCGTGAGTGGAGTCTACAAGTCTTCCCTAGCTTGCTGATTTGTTCTTTTTCTATCTCCTAGACTCCCATCGTAACATTATGCACAAACACACACACACAAAGATATGTATATCATAATCTTTGACGGAAAAAGATATGGAAAAGAGAGCGTATGGTTTAATTTAACACAACTATTTTACAATATTTAAGATGGTACTATAGCAAGTCATCTTGGCATTCCACACTGGACCGGCCCAACCTCATTGTAGAAAAAGTTTGGGCTTTAGGTGCCATAATTTGAGAAGCCCCCACAATTTAAGTTATATAATTAACCCACATTAAATTTTTAATTTTACAAAAATTTTAAGTCCTATAAAAAAGTCTCAAAAAATTTAGGTTCAATAAAAATTTTTAGTGAAAATTGAAAGTGAGTCCTCCTAAATATACTTGTTTGAAAATAAGTCCTACAATGAAACTTATAAGGAGTTAAGTTCCTGTTTAAAATTATATGTAATGACTTAAGTCTATATTTTTTTTATCTCAAAAATACCCTTCCTTGAAAGAAAGTTAATTTTTTCTCTCTCATATCTATTTATATCCATATATAAGTTAAAAGTTTGTCTAACATTAAAATTTTTTATCTCACTTATCTATCTATATCCATATATAGGTTAGGTGTATATATATAGTAACATTTAAAAAAATAGTAACATTCAAATACAAAAAAAAAAGTTACTAAGAATTTGAATAGTAAAATTCAAATTCATGTTACTATTTTTTTTTATGTTACTGTTCATGTTACTGCTTTTGTTGAGTATGTTACCATTCATATACTATTATTTTTGAGCATGTTACTATTTTTGTTGACCATGTTACTACTATTATTTTCCTAAATATTAATATTCAATATTTTTTTTTAATATTACTATTTGTTGTATTTGAATGTACTATTTTTTGCGTTGAAATTTGAGAAAAATAATTATTGTTAAATATGTTATAATTTTTGTTAAGTATGTTACTATTTTTATTGAACATGTTACTGTTGTTATTTTTAAAAAATATTAATATTGAATGTTTCAATTTTTTTATGTTTAAATGTTACTATTTTTTTGTGTTTAAATGTATTATTTTTTGTATCTAAATAATAACTTTTTTTGTATTTGAGTGTTACTATTTTTTATTTTTAATGTTACTATATATATACATATATATAACCTATATATAGATAGATAAGAGAGAGGAAAAATTTTAATATTAGTTCAAAATCTTAACCTATATATGAATAAAAATAGATGTGAGAAAAAAATATTTTAATGTTAGTCAAACTCCTAAAATTTAGGAGTTTTTAATTTTTAATTTTATTTCACTTCTAAAAGAAAAGGATAATATGGTAAAATTGATAAAAAACAAACTTCATAACAAATAAGTTTATTTGACGGACTTAAGTTCAAACAAATCCATATAGGGGGGCCGACCTCCAAATTTCTCAAATTTTTAATTTCAATAATTTGGGCTCATAATTCAACCTACAATATTATAAAATCAAAAATCAAAAGTTAAAAAAAAAAAACTAAATGTATAAAAAATTTACTCTAAAGTCAAGTTATATTTACTTCACATTTACTCTATTCTGGTAAAAAACAAAAGTAAAAGTTAAAACATCTCTATTGATAACATTGATTCTTCCTCTATCACACACACATATAATAAATAAAAAATAAATTAATTTTTAATAAAAATTTAATATTATAAAAATATTTCATTCGATATTTTCGCTTTAGGCCTCAAAATGCTTTGTGCCGCCCTGTTCCACATCCTTGGACAAAAATAAGATTCTTTGTAGTTCAGTATCATCACTCAAAAAATAATTATCCTGCTTCTTTCCACCCGCAAATATGCACAAATTCACAACAATGAGGGTGAATGGATGATAGCAAATTTAAACATATCAATTATGTTTCTGATGCATTGTAACCTATAAACATCTAAACATAAATAAATGACATAAAAAATGAAAAGAAGAAAAGATGCAGGTAGATGTATAGATGGAGTATGAGTTATCTTGAAGACTTGGAACTGTATAACTCTTTCTTTTTGAAGTACACATTTTACAGCAAAATTGTCTTCAAGGAGAACAGTAGCAAATGAATGTAGTGTGGATAAAACATGGAGCTTGAATGAATGAATAATGGTACTAAGGGAGAGTAGGAGGAAGGGTTGGTTTTGCTACTTTGAGCTCTCCACAACCACTGATATAGACAGTCTTAAGGGGCTTGTTCCAGATTGCGCGGGCATTTTTAGCTCTTCCATCTCCAAGAAACTCTGCCAAATCATTGTACTGGCGGATTCTTTCAGATGGTTTGTAAGTGGGGATGGAAGCTATGCTCGTCACAACATCCAACCCTGCAACCCAATACAACTGAAATCAGAAAAGTATGCAAACATTTTCAGATAGCAAGGGAAAACAGAAGATAATTTTATAAGTAGCTCAGTCACAAAGTTGATATAAATGCAGAGTTTCGAAGAAACAGGAGATCTTTTTACATGCTGCCCTATGCAAGTAGATACTTAAGAAGAAAACAGCAGTCTCTACAAAATGTTCTGTAAGATGAAGTGTGATGTGTGGGCATGAAGTTCAGTTTCAAAAGAATTATGAGCATGAATAATCTTGGACCTCAAACGATGACAAATGAGAGTTTGAGTCTGAGAATTAGTCTATCAAAAAATGAAGGTGAGACTATCCGTACCACTTACCTCTCCTAGACCCTGTTATATGAGTGCCTTGTGCACTGTTAATGGTTTTTTTATCGTGATAATTGTTATGACAATCCGCAGAGAAAAGAAGAGGCCAAGGAGGGAGGAGGGAAATTCAATTTACACCAGTATAGCAATGTATTCCAACAGAGTTGCTAATGATGCCAGAATCAGTTGAAATACTGCAGCCATTTCAAGCATAATGTATACATGTTGCTCCATTACTAAAGTGAAGCATAGTTGGGTGAATTTTTGTCAAAAATTAGCGTTGAACACCTATAAAGAACTCCCACAAACTATGGATTCAATGGGCTGAATTTTTAAAAGGAGAACACATAATAAAGCTAAAATAGCATTACAAATAGTTTCAGCAGTAAACTTCAGGAAGTAGATTCCTATCTAAAGTACCGAGTTCACATACGCAAGCACTCACAAAAAACAGAGTTTGGACTATGTTAACAGAGGCACAAGGAAAGAGTCTTTAGAGGTGAAGCAGGAACCTGTAAGAAATTAAAAGTACATCTGCAGGCCTTGAACTACAAACCTATACTTGAGAAAACAATCAGTCCAATTGCATCTCCCCCACCCCCAAAAAAAAACCCATCCCCACCTGGCCCTGTTCTTTATTTGAAACCTATTGAACTATTGAATCAAAGTTACTACAAACCAAAGTACCCCGGTGTATACACTTCCGGCTTATATCGAGGCCTAAGATAGATAAATGGTAGACATCATTACTCCTTGTTAGAAAAATCTGATTCTTAAACTCGAACTCTTGGCGCATTGCTTGGACAGATGAAAACTTGTTACCGTTCCAGATCCGACCTCAGCCACAAACCATAAAATAAGATTTATTTATCGATCACATTCATTTTAAGCAGTATAAATTCTGTTTACAGGTATGCCCCAAATGATATGAATTGGCTACTCTAGATTTACCATCAATTAACTTCTTCCCATGCCAAAAAAAAACTTACACATCAAAATTGATCAAGAATTCAGCAATTATTACCTAACATAGCTTCTGGTATATAAATCTGCCAAAAATACTTGAGTTGAATGGGTATGCCTATGCAGTTAAAATTACAGCTTTAGAAGTATAGAACTCACCTTCAAGCACAGCCCCAAAGACAATGTTCTTACTATCAAGCTGTGGGCAAGGTCCAGGCCCAGTGGTGACCAAAAACTCCACATTGTGATAATCTGGGTCTAGCTTAATCTCATCATCATCATCATTCTCCGATAAACACAAAGAAACAATGCCTGGCCTCGAATGCTCCAACACAAACGCCTTAGAATCAACTGTCTCAGTGTTCCTAACCATTTGCAATGGCGGTTTAACCTCCCCTTTATCTCTCCGACCTTGTTTTCCGGCCATGAAGAACTGTCCGGGGAATATTTTCTGGACCAAAGTCCCTTTGTAGGACGACCCAGATGAGCCAGTACACATCGATTTGAAATTAGAGACGGTTATGGGGACGAGATTGCCGTAGAGGCCGAGAACGAGGCGGCCGATCGGTGTGGCGTCGGAGCAGAGAGATAGCTCGTCGCCGAGTGTTCGGTTGAGGAAGTAGGAGGGGCAGATACTGAAGTCCATGAAGACGCGGTCGGTGATGGTGGTGTCTGGTGGTGGGGTGGTGGCGGAGGAGGAGAGAGGGGTGGGGAGAGAGAGGGTGGTGGAGAGGAAGAGGAGGGAGCGGCGGGTGAGGTTGAGGTTAGGGCTGTGGTGGTGATGGTGGAGGAGAGGCGAAGGAGGGAGTGTGGTTGAGGAGCCCATTACGACGGAGCATGGCGGAGAGAGAGAATGTGGGTGAGGATGATGTGCGGATTGGAAAATGTCTTGTTGGATGCCACACAACACAAGTGGTTCAGGTGGGCCTTACGTTTAATTTTGTGAGTGGATGGGAATTTTGTTAAAAGAAAACACAATGGGAAAAACACCATTAAATCTTATTTTTTGTTTAAAAAAATAATTCAGTACTATAAAATTTATACTCGAACAATCAAATACTACTTTTCCTAATTAGTTTCATTTTTATCTTTTTAGTATTAATTACAGAATTGTCATTGTTTTTTTTAATTGAAAACCACAAAATAAGAAAATTAGGGTTTTGTTCCAACCCCACTTACCATTGGCAACAACGTCAAAAAGGCTCTTGCGACTCTTTAATTCTTAAATTTTTCAAGTAAGTTAATCTATTCTCTGTGGTTGAGAGATAAGAATCATTTTCGTGATGTTGAACTAATTAAACCTGTGAATCGAATTTATTAGTTTGATATATGTGTGTGTGCACGCAATGACGATACTACCATTTGACCATCGCTCCCTGAGATTTTAAAAACTTTGAACATCTATTATTAGTCAAAGAGTCATGATATTCTATTAAAGTCCTACTTTCATTTCATCCCCGTGTGTGGTAGTAAGCTTTGCTCAAAAAATAAAAAAAAAAAGATTGGTAGTAATCAATAATTAAAAAATAAGAAGAGACATGCATTACAAGAGAAGATCACTCTTGTAGGTCAACACTTATTAAAACATATGGACTTCTATTCACTAAGGTTCTGGTGTTGTTTTTAATTACTAATATTTTTCTTATTTTTTTTATTAATAGGTTGTAATTTATAAACGAGTCTTATTTTGAGGAAGGATTATTTTGCTATTGTCATATTGGTGGTAAAATTAGAGTTTACGATGATAAGTATGTCAAGTATGAAAGAGGTTTGATTAATGGTTTTCCTATTGACTAGAATACGTTGCACGGTCAATTTGTTGAGCGGGTCTATGAGGTACTTGTTGTTTCAGATTGTAATTTAAGTCTCAAGTATAGTATTTAAGCTGATAAAACTTGGTTATTACCTTTGGATGGACAAGATGCTCTAAAAAATTTACTTTCGTTCAATGAGGGAATTGTCAATGTGTATGCATTTGAAGAAGGTAATCCTCCGACATCCAAGCATAAGCGATCAAAGTAAGTGATTTTTTTTTTTTTGATTTTATGAGTTATGTTTTTTGTTCTGTGTAATAAAGATGTAAGGCCATAATTGTTTGACTTCTAGATACTCTGTTAGCCAAACACCAACGACCAATGCCTCAAATGCATGTCAAAGCATTATGTCAATTTTGCCATTAGTTATAATTTTGGGTTAGACTTGAGTTAAAAAATTTCAACTTGAATTACATTCGGGTGTACCCGATAGAGATGGCAGTGGATGAGGTAAAAATGAGTATTCGTCCAAACCAGTCCTGTTTGGACCATGAATGGACTATATGTATTAGACGGTGGACATATACGGAGATACCTGTATAAACCTGTGGGAGAATGAAGACGGGAATGGACTGACACCTACTCCCGCCCTGCTTTATCCATTATTATTGTTATTATTTTATATATATACATATTATTATAAATACAAATTTACATATTATTGAATGATTTTTTTTTTTGAAAATTATTTTTTTTTTTGATTTTTTTGCATGTTCTTGGCTTATAAAATTGTAGATCTTTGTGTTTTTATGTTTTTTTTTGTATTGAATTATGTTATGTTATATTATGTTATGATGCATGATGTTGTGCTGGATTTATATCAGAGACAAGGTTTTAATTATATTATGTTAAATTATGTTGTAGATAATAAGCTTATAATTATGTTATGATATTCTATAATTATGTTGGATTATTTAAAATGTTATATTTATTTAGAATTTTGGGTTATGTTGGTTTGAGTTTGGGCTGGGGCGGGTAAGGTAGGCAGAGGTGGGAGACGGGGTGGGGGCTGGGATTACAAATTTACCCATGAATGGGGATAGGGATCAAAATTATACCTGTTAACGGAGATGGACTGAAAATGAACAAAGTTTTTTTAAGTGGGTATGGAATGGAAACTACCCCCCACCCCCGTTTCGATCTACTGTCATCCCTAATACCCGAATTTAGGCCTCAAGTTACTGTGGTTTAATCCGAACGTGACAAATTAAAAAAAAGAAGTATATCTATAATATAAAATAGTGCAAGTTTCAATAAACTTATCCAATTGTCTCAAATAGACTCATCAACCGGTCACCAATATCTCTCTTAAAATCATTCACATTGTACCATGTCTTCAAACACAGGTTACCCCTAGTATTTATATAAAGCACATAACAACACAACTAGGGTTCCCCAATCCCTTCATGCGCTTCTGCCACTCTCTCGTTCTCTGTCTCTCTCACCCTCATCGACTTTTGACCCTTTCATCCTCACTCAATCACTCTCTCCACCATCTCTCAGTCTTTCACTCCACTTTTACAGAGAAATTACTGACTTATTGAATGATATTGAAGACAATATACTATGGTTTTTTTTTTTTTTTTTATGATGGAGTTGTTTGAAGGTTGTTTTTTATTTTGTTTATGTGGATTCAATGTTTTTGGCTTTTATGGTGGATTAAATGTTTTTAGTTTTTGAATTTAACGTTCAGCTTGAATTGAGGAACTCGATTTTAACCCGAGCTTGCCCTAAATTAACTCGGACAGTACTTAGGTTGAGTATCTCGGGTTGAGGTCGATGATAAACACTAGATATTGCATGATTCCATAGCCTTTTGCATCTAATTTAGGCTTGCTAACTGACTAACTTGTATCACTTAGTGCATTTTGTAGCTTAAAACCTTGATTTTGGTGTTGCAGGTATTATAGGTATAAATATGGAGTTTTAGCATGGATACGATGACAAGGAACACGATGGTAATGAGATTGGTCAGGATTAAATGAAGCCGGAGGCATTGCAAAACCAATTGGGGAAAATAGAAGAACTATCGGTAGTTATTCTACTGGTATGAAGAAAGAAATACAAGGTTCTACCAATAGGAAGTCAGTTCTGTCAATAGCTGATCTCACAAAAATTTACAAGTTTTCATCAGAGAAGTTTTACCACTAGTTGTAGCACATTCTACCGCTAGATGAAGTCTCAGTACTTTTATCAAAAGAGTCCCACCGGTAGGTTTGTGTGCTATCGATAGATCGAGATAGATATTCCTCGGAAGCTTAATTAAAGATTAGATTTTGCCAAATCTTTTGGGGATTCTCAACCAACAAAATTTGAAGATAATTTTAGAATTGATATCTTTCAAAAAAGTTGGACATTTTATTTCCCAATTGCTATAAATTGAGACTCTATGAATTGAAGGAGGACGTTGTTCACAATTTTACTTAGGTTTTAGGGGTTTTCTTTTACAGAGTTTAGGTTTTGTTTTATAGAATTCCATTCAAAGTTTAATCTTTCATTTATTTGTTTGTTTAAACAATATTAAATTTCAATTATCTTTACTTTTAAAGCTTTATTATTTACATTTGGTTTTTCAATACAAGTACTCAATTTCAATATGTTATTTACTTTTATGTATTTAGTTATGTCTTCTTCGAAGTTTTACATCATTTTTGTAATTATGAGTGAGTAGTCTTCTTCTGAATGATCTGACGAATGAGTCTCAAACCTATGAGTTAGGACGTATGCCTTAAATTAGAGTTTTAACGATTTTGTGATTGATTGAACAAATTATATTTTTGAAAACCTAATTGATTTGCATGCGTCGCTATTATTATATGTAATTAGACTTGGTACAAATAATTATGATATTTCCTGCAACCTTTAGAGTACTAATTCTTTTATCATAAACTATCTTTCAATTGTTACATTACTTCTTTTAAAGTTTTTAGTTAAAAATCTTCCATTTGTAGTAGTTTGAATATGAAAGCAGGCGAGTTATAGACTTAAGATAGAAACTCTTATTCTTAGATGGGATGAATTCTAAAGATTATTTAGTTTTTTTCAGTTATTGAATTTCAATTCATTAGTAGTTAACTCTCAAATTCTCAACTTCAAAGAGCCTTTTTCATTTTATCTTTTTCATCACTTTGGATTCTAATTCTTATCCTAAGGAGACGATCTTGGACTTTTGTTCAAGTTACTACATGATATCTTTCTCTTATACTTGAGAGCTTTCGTGAAAATACAACTCCTTTGGAGGGTATGTAATCGGGTTAGAATTGAATATTTTATACTTAGGATTGACCACTTAACCCGCCCGAGTTGCACCCCTAATATTACCTGATGATACACAAATCGGTATTGCATAAAATCAATAGTCAAGAATGTGAACGGGGACAATCAATGAGCAATAAACAGACAATTAATGATAAAACAGTAAATAATGAGCAAAACACAAAGATATATAATAGTTTGGTCCGGGTGACCTACTCCACTCTGGGGAACGGCAGTGGTGACCTGAGATTTTTATTAATGAATGAAGTCGCCAGAGAGAGTATTCTCCATAAGTATTATAGTGCTTAGTGGGAGAGAGAGAAAGAGAAGAAGTATGTGTAGAGATCTTATAGAGGACTCAAGGTCATAAGGATATGATGCCCTCTTTGTGGAGAGGGCTTACATTATATAGGTTTTTCTAAGGCGGTGACGTGAGAGAGGGGGTTTCTACCATTTTTGGTAAGTATAATTTTAATAGGATTGGATTTTCGTATCCCGATATTCTTTCCTCGTGCTCTTATTTTGTTGGAAGAGGATCCTGAGATGGACTAGGCTTGGCCTTGACCTTGGACTTGACTTGGCTTGAACTTGCTTTGGGGTTAAGAGGACAAAGGAGAAAGAACCTGGCCATGGGCGGCGCCCCCTTGGGCGTTGGCCTTTGGTGTCTTGGTTCTACTTCACTTCTTGTTGATTTATGGGCTCATGAATCCTTGTTGATTTACGGTCTCATGATTCCTTGTTGATTTGCGAGCAGTTCTAACTCCCTTTGGGCTCCCGTGACTTGGATTCCTTGCTTGATCTAGCTCCGATTGAATTTTTCTTAGGCCTT